GTGTCTTTCATTCCAACATAAGAAAACATTTCTGGAATCTGCATCTGAAATAGCATTTAGATGTATTCACACAGTTTAATGTAGGCCTATCTCAGACGGGACATGGATGCATTTAACCTGCAGTTACAGATGAATAAAAAATGTTTTGTTTTTAACATAAAACGCTGAATATTGTTATTTGAAATTATTTTAAAACATAAAAAATAGTCGAAATGTGAAATTAAAACCGCCAGTAGGTGGCAGCAAGTGACTGTTAATGAGTGAGTCATTGAGATTCAACCGATTCATTCAAACGACCGATTCATTCAGGAACAAAGCATTTGACTGTGTTTTAATGAGTGAATCACTGAATCATTTATTCAACCGATTCGTTCAAAAAGCTGATTCATTCAATAAGTAAACACCGTCCTTTGCTCAGAGATGCAAAACAGTGCTGTGATCTTTGTTTGTAACTATATTCGTTAGCAAAATTGAGCAAAAACAAGCAATATTATGTCTAAGATGTAAGTCACTTATTGCTTTACTCAACTTGTATAAAATGATGATTAAATATGTCCATGCTGATATCTGCAGAAAAAAACAGTACTGTTTGTGTGATATAGATTAAGTTATATAACTATATTAAATTATATACAACATTTATATTAAATTATATACATATAAAAAGCATATAGAAGCATTTTTGCCATCTACAATTTAGAATGCCTTGAATTTTGAGTTTTAATAGAATAATAAATCAACGTGCGTGCACTCTGTGTGTGTGATTTGGTGATATAGCTTGATAATGTCAGATCGCACATCATTACAACAACACTTACCATATTATCGCAGACTATGCTGTATCGCACACCCCAGACTCGACTTGAGTGGAAAATGAATCATCCGCAGTTGTGCGCGCACTTGTTTGCACGTGAGCATGAGTCTAATGCCGAGTTCACACTGCACGATTTTAGCCCGATTTTTCACTCATCGACAGGTTTTGCGAAATCGCCGACAAATGCCCGAAATTGGAGGCAAATCGGTGCTCGTTCACGCGAGTGACAATCACGCAGTGTGAATTATCAAAGACGCAATCTGAGGGAATCGCCGACAAGTCGCCGTGAAATATTTGGCATGCTAAATATCTGGAGCTGTCGGCGATTCACAATCACACAGTGTGCAATGATTTCTGACTGAAAACTACATCGGCGATGACCTACAGCCAATGAGAGACCAAGATACAGGGCAGAGGGAAGTTCGGGGAGGAGTTATAGACCAGAATATCAGTATTTTAATAGATATATGAACAATTATATCATACAGAAACAAGCACAACCATTTGCTTGACCAGCCACAACATCAGCATAACAGTTACTGCAAAATTATTTACCTCCAACTCTCTTTGCAGAACACCCAATCCTTGTTCCCTGCATCTCCCTCCTGCATAATCTGTTTTTCTTTTTCTCCTTGTAGCTGGAAATCTGCTCACAGACAATTTGTGGGCTATATATATATATTTTTTTTTTATAATTACAGTCTTGCTCACGAGAACTCCGGTCTGACGCACGCGGGTTCTAGCGTTATTTCCTTATCACTTCTCGGGTGCAGTGTTGCCAATTTGGGGATTTTGTCGCCAAATTTAGCTGCTTTCTCATTGTAGCTTGTGACTTTTTTAAAAAAAAATTGCGACAAGGAGCTATTTTAGCTATATTTAAATAAAACTAGCGATTTCTTTGGAGATTTTTTATTTTTTATTTGGCCACACCCTGCCGTAGGCCCGTGACCTCTCACGTTTGCTCTCAATCATGCCAACGAGTCTGCGCAGTGAACACACCAGTACGCCACGCCTGCCATGACGCACACCACAATTTCATTATAAGCATCAATCAAGATGGTGGAGAAAAAATTAACATCTTGTTTTAACCACGGACACAAAAGTTATACCACAATTCATGCACAGTCATGTCAACCAGATACTGCGTCATCGTGTCATGCGTGCTGGGATGCAGTATTTTGCACTTACTTTGTAGTAAAAGAGTGTGTTGACTGAAATATAATAGTTTGTATGAACAAAGTTTTTGTTTTTGGAGAATCATAATATCTCTTATCTGTTGTATTTGAGCAGGACAGGGATGCACTTTGGTGACTCGTGAACTCGGCATAACTTGCAGATGCCAGATCACTGATTCGTCAAACCTGCTTTCCTGCAGTCCGTGTTCTTCTGACTTCTGACTATTTTGTAGTAAGTAACGAATATGCTTCGGGGAAATGTATCGGAGTAAAAGTATACATTTTAATTAGGAAATGTAGTGGAGTAAATGTAAAAGTTGGCTGAAATATAAAAACTCAAGTAAAGTAGCCTACAGATACACCCAAAATATACTTAAGTACTGTAACGTAGTATTATTACTTAATTACATTACACCACTGGTTTTATCTATCTATCTATCTATCTATCTATCTATCTATCTATCTATCTATCTATCTATCTATCTATCTATCTATCTATCTGTCTGTCTGTCTGTCTGTCTGTCTGTCTGTCTATCTATCTATCTATCTATCTATCTATCTATCTATCTGTCTGTCTATCTATCTATCTATCTGTCTGTCTGTCTGTCTGTCTGTCTATCTATCTATCTAATTAGAAGAATAAGAATGTAGCGCATTACGAATAATAGCCTACTAATAATCTCATTTTTCTATAGCACGTTTTAAATACAGATATCAGTATAAGTAACTTGATGAGCAAATCATCTCTGAATTCTTGTATTACAGTTATTAAGATTTTGCAGTAAAATCAGAATTTCTTGCACCAAAATATATACATTTGCCATTACTGGTGTGAATCATTTATCTGATAAGAGCTGCATATTTTTCACATTAGTCCCTCTAGAGATGGCATTGCTCACAAACTGACCACATAATGGAGAGGACTCGCACTCTAGAAACTTCCAAAACATCTCATTCATTAATTATCAATAAAACAAGTTAAAGGTTTGACGTCTGCTCACATTTCAAACCCGTAAGCCTTTGGAACAACTGTAGTAGGGCTTGTGTTCAGCGCAGGATGCTGGATCCAGAGCCAGCTGCTCTCCCATGAAAGCTGTGGAATGGTGTTAAGTGAAGTGGCTTAACCGTAAGCCTGTTAGAGATGTGCTCACACTTCCCATCCCTCAGCCTCTGTGAATCACTGAACAACAGAGGCTTTGTAGAGCCGAGTCTGAGTTTAGCAGTACAGTCATTTCAAGCATTCACGATTAGCTCCAACCGCTCCAAATCAGTCAGACACTTGAGGCCCTGAACTCCTCAAATAACAGCTTCAAATTTGCCAGTTTTCATGGCTATAAACAAGGAATGTCTGTTTTAGAGGCTTTATGGTGTGCAGCCAAAGCGTGAGGGAATTGTGAACTTATGAATTCTGCAAATTTAATTTAGTCATCATAGTAAAGTTATTTAGTTGGCATAGATTATATATACATTGTCATAATTATTATTTAAAAAAGTTTTAAGAATGGCTTATGAAAGTCCTGGAGGCATCAGTTATAATGGGTCACATTTTTCATAAAGTGTTTATGAACAAATATCTGGTATCGAGTTATGTAACTGTATAATTTCCAGCTTTTATGGGGAATTACAGTATAAGATATTGAGCTATATAAGCAATTTTAGTTTTGTATGTTTAAAGAACAGAAAACGAATCATTTTATGTGCATTTTTAAAAACTGTACATTTTCCCGATACATTCAAAATGATATTGCTAAAAAAAAATTAAATATGCCAGATAAAATATTTGCATGCCAAGTACAAATCTAAAGTACTTGCATGATTTTATTACTGTATCTTACTGTTCAACCCATGCTGTAAAGTACATTTCACCTTCTTTTGAGGACTCCACCTTATATCAACAGAATTCTTGGATTTCTGCTGTGCAAACATCTATAATCCACAACCCAATATAATAAAGATAGATTGCCTCCTTTTGTATTAAAAGGCTACAACTGACACTGCGCTACTTTAGGAAATAGCACCGTTTTGGAGTAGGCTACCTATTAATTTCATAGCTAGACCACCTACATTAACAAACATAAAAAGCATGCAAACACTCTTCCTGTCATCACAACGAGAAAGAATCAGGGATTTGACCTACGTCCTTCACAGATGGACGCTGCTGTGATTTAGGTTAAAAATGCATAAATGCTCATATCAGATGACTTGTTTAACTGACAAAGTAATAGTGCTCACGTAGTGATTACTCACACTTGTATTGCGAGTCAGTAGTCGGCACAACATCGTCTTTCAATCTTTCTGAAAATCCAGCGACGAATTGTGCCTTGTATGTAAACAAATCTGCTGTAAAATGAAGCGAACAAAGGACCAAGTTCCTACTGACACGGTCTGGATCTTTATTAAAAATAAAGTTAATCCACTCTTTCCTAAAGTTGGGATCAGAAGGAAGGCAATGTAAAGACTGTATTTTTCCACAACTTGGCACTGCAGTGTCTCGTCTTCGGAGCATCTTTATTGTTTGGTTTTTGAGTAGACCTGCATTTGCCTCTCTCATTATTTACACTACGTGCGGGAATTGGTGGGTGAGGCTAAACAGGCAGTGATGTAGAAGCAGGCGTTGATCTTCTTCTGCGGAGGAAGTGCTTAGCAACACTATTACGTCATAAAGTTGTGATTTTCCTCCTCGTTGCAGCCAGCTGCACAAGTCTTCAAGACGCTCCAGAAGTCTCCAGGTAGCTTTGCAGCTTCCGAACTGTGGTTTTGTCCAGAGAGCAGAGGTCAAAGTCAAAAGTTGTGTTTGTGATGTGAAAGTGTCCCGTTTCCTCAATGAGGTTCACAATCTGCAAGAAAAAAGAATAACATTTGATTTAAAAATCTAGCTTAATGTATCAGCATTCAAAATGAAACATTCAGAAGCAGCATTTCTTAATACAGTATGTGGTAATTCCATTCGCCTTTGCATTGTTTACAAAGCACCATTGACAGTGAAAAGACCCCGTTTGCACGATATCTCGTGTCTGATTGTAATGAGGAAGATGCTTTACCAAAGCAGCCTGATATTGGTTCCAGCCCTTGCTGCTTCAAAAGAGGGACTGAATTGGTGATTATGAAGAGAAGGGGGCTGCAGAGTGGCCACATGGATTAAACTGGGCCGTAATGGGACCCAAACCCGATCCGTTTCACACTACAAAGCAAAAGCCGCATATGGAAGGAATTTCTTCCATTTCTCCTGAACCTGGGCCAGAAACAAAGGGAAACCCAGAGGCCTGATAATGACATTGAAGATAGAAGTCAGCTGTTCGAACGCCTGTAGCCTGGACAAACAACCGTGGATGTACTGCTTTTGTGTCAAATTTAAGAAGTTTAAGCAGACAACAAACTATTGTAAACATTGTTGCTGATATAAGACATGTAATGTATAAAAAAAGAAGAAATATAATTAATATATATAAAAAGACAATAAATAAAAAGTAAAAGTTTGCAATAAAGTAATTAAAAATAAAATTAATAATAATAATAATAATAAATATTTAACCAAATTAATTATATGATGTGCTGATTAATTAATTGCAAATTAATAACACATCATTTTGGGCTGCATCAATAATGCTATGAAAATAATGGAATAAAAAAAAAGAAAAGAAATGATACTGTGCTAAACTGCCAGTAGGTGGCGACAAGTCGCCGTCTTAATGAGTCATACATTCAACTGATTCCTTCAAAAGGCTGATTCATTCAGAAACAAAGAGAACGAGCCAATGTCTTTATGAATGGGTCACTGAATCATCGGCTCACTGGATTCGTTCAAAAATGTAGATTCATTCAGTAATAAAACACCAACGTGTGCTGCTTGGAGATGCACAACAGTTTAGCCCTGGCTTTGTTTGGAACTAGTTTTATTGGCGAAATGGAAATACTGCTAAACTATATCATATATAAATATAAAAACTCATACAGGAGCATTTTTTGCCCTCATATCCTGAATTTTAGTGACATATAGCTGCATTCTAGTAGGCTAGCTACACCATGCAGTCAGTCGTCCTGTATCAAGTACGTCATTTTATATTTTAGGAATATTCCATAGACGTTCCTCAGAACAATTTGCCACATAACAAGGAATAAAGCTTGCCAATGACATCAACGAATTTTCCAGTTTGCGTTAAGGGATAATCATGGAAGTTAATCAATGCCATAACTTATTGCGGAGGAGGGCGATTATTTCACAAAACTGCAGGATTAGCTTGATTAAGATGTACGTTTGCACCGTTTGGACCTCATTTGGAAGGTCTTCCAGATTACACCACCACAGGCTTTGCAACAGAAGGACACGGCAAATCCTTGGAACTAGAGAAGTATTACTCTCCATTGTGTCAAAGCAAATAGGCCTCAAAGAAC